GTTATCGGTTTTTTCAGAGAAGTCAGTTTTTAGATTTTAAAGGGCACTTTCATTTATTTTTGGAATGTTCACAGTATTTGAAGGATGATCAGAGATCTTCAAAGCAGTTTCTTTAATTAATTGCAGAAACTTTCAAGAATTTTCCAGAAAATATAGATTATTCCACAAATCTCAGGAATGTTTCAAAAATTTCAAGAATAGTGCGGATTTTTAGGAAAATTCGACCAATATTAGGAAAGTTGTTGGAACGGTAAATAACTTGAGAATTTCTTGATAATGTACGGAATATTATCATGGACGAACGAACACTTTAGATAAGTCCAGAAAAGTTTAGGGAAGTTTAGAGATTTTAAGGTATATTCCATGACCTGAAGTTTCGAAAACTTTAGGAATATTTACGAACTTCTGGATACATCAATGAACTTTAGGAAAACTGCGAGAACTTTTAAAATATTCTAAGAAATTCAAGGAAGTCTTGTTGGAGTTTAGAGATCTTTGGGCCAGTACCAATATCTTTAGAGATGCATCGGAAAATTCAGATAAGTGTAGACTTTTAAAGATTTTTAAGAATTTCAAGGGATTCTAGGGAGAATTAAAATTGGTTTTGAATTGAATTCTTAAAGACTGGACTCGGAAAAAATGAGACACACAAAAATTATCACCAAAAATTCATTTTAAATCGGATACTTCTCAAATTTTCAGGGATTAAATAACTATATATTAGCTATGTTTTGGCATTATTTATTTATTGAATTTCCTCCCCCAAGTTGAATGCTCGTACATTTCTCTTAACACTGCTCATAAGATCTTGGGTCGAGGTGCTTCATCGGTTTTGAATGTTTTTCCGCTTTTCTTTAACTTCTTCTTCATTATCGCCCAAAACTTTTCGATCGGACGAAGTTCTGGTGTATTTGGCGGGTTCGCCTCCTTCGGGACGACATTAACGCCCTTCGCTTTGTACCAATCCATTACAGGCTTGGCGTAATGACACGAAGCGAGATCCGGCCCGAACAGCGTGGGACCACGGTGAGAGCGGAGGAAGGGCAGCAAGCGCTTCTGCAAGCATTCCTCTCGATACATCTGCCCGTTTATGGTGCCGGTTGTAACGAACGGCTTGCTGTACCGTCCGCACTCGCAGATCGCCTGCCACAACAGGTACTTCTTCGCGAATTTGTCCATCTTTCTCTTCCGGAACTTTTCCGGAACCTCCATGCGGCACGTACCGACAAAAAACTGGAGGCCGGGGATTTGTTTGGTGTCCGCCTTGATGTATGTCTAGTCGTCCATGACGAGACAGCCTGGCTTGACCAGCCACTCACGGTACAGCTTCCGCGCACGCACTTTGGCCACCGTGTTTTGCTTGTCAGTCCGGTTTGGCGCCTTCCTGACCTTAAAAACACGTAGCCCAGCCCGGTTCATGGTCTGCTGGACGAACCACTTCGACGAATTGACCTTTTTGGCCACGTCTCGGGTGGAAAGGTTCGGGTTATTCTTAAAGTACTGCCTTATCTTCCGCGCCTTCTCTGGGTATTCCGTTTTCGGTTTTCGGCCACTTCCAGCGCGCCGCTCGATGGTCTTCGTCTCCTGGAACATCTTCACAACGCTGGACACGGTGGAATGGTGGATTCCAAGCCTTTTGCCGAGCCATCTGTGCGACTGACCAGGATTATCGATCACCGCGCCCAAGATTTGCTAGCGTAGCTCTTCTTGTTTCGAATGCATCTTGAAAACTACTTGACAGATCGCGAATTTTGCACACATATACATAACACTCTAAACTAGTATTACCCAAAATTTCATTAATTTTTACCCACGCGATAAAAAGTTACACCCAAAACAAAGTGTCGCATTTTTTCCGAGTCCAGTCTTTATGTTATTCGAAGAATAATTCCAAGGGAGTTGTGAGGAGAACTTCAAGGAAAATTCAAAGAAAAATCTGTTGAGAATTGCATGGGGATCTTGAGAACAGAAGGTTAATTTTAATGAGAAACTTAACTCTGTCTACAAACAGTGGGGAAGGAGCTCTGGTGCAAGATTGTCTGGAGATTTTACACATTTTAAACAGTCTCAAGAATGACGCATTTCTTTAAGTTCCTCGAGTTACTAGGTTCCTGAAGTTCCACCAACTCATGGATTTTCAAAGTTTTAAGAGTCTTTGGATTAATCTTCCATTCACTTTTTACTGTTTATAGAACTTAAAGCCCGATCAATTCTCTTTCTTAGATTACCTGAGTAAGATAGATGAGATCTTTTGATAGTTAAGAATCTTGAAGTAAAAATCTTCTAATATCATTTTCAAAAGTTTGTTAACATTTTCTTTCTAAAAATTATTATCAAACAGAAGCTTGCAGAACGCCAAATTTTTAATAAGTGGTATAACCACTTGCACAGCGACGAAGTGAGGTTTTTCTGTGCCCTGGGCTATCCATGAAAATGACACAGCTTTCCAAATTTATTAATATAACGGTCGGTTTCTAAACAAGATAGGGTTATTATTGGATTCTTAATTTTTTTTTACGTCTAAAATTTTTAATATTAGCTTGGTTCGGAAGATCCATTTTATTCCAAAACTGTTTTCAGAATTGTAGTTCTTCTTAGAATTCCTTTGAAACCCTCAAATTTATATTCCCATTGAATTGTTATCAGAATTCACTTTGATTTCCTGTCAAAATTTATTGCGATAATTTATTTAAAGTACTCATCAAACTTTCTAGGAGATCATAATCAGAATTATTTTCATGTACTTTACTTTAAAATTCAGATTGAATTGTCTGGTTAATCTACTTTACTGTAAAATTGACATTCTAATTAGAATCTCGTTGGAATTATCTTCAGATCCAGATTTTACGGAATTCCCTAGGATTTCATGTCAGAATTCTTTTGGGGTTCATGTCAGAATGTTCTTGAAATTGTGGTTGAAATTTCCTTGAAATATTCATTACTATTTACTTTTTACTTTGAAATCAGCTTAGAGTACCTTTTTAAAAACCATATGGAATTCCAGTGGCGACGCGTAACCTCACTTTGTACCTGTTCAACATCTTTGAAAACGTTATTTAGGGTTATGTTTACATTCTATTCAGTTTCAAAAGGCATAGGGACTTCTAGTTTCACTGATTTGTATCCATTGGAACCAATATTGTTTTGTTTTGTTTGTTTATGTTTTGGGAGTTGTTGAACTTGTAGATTGAGGTTAGGGCGACGCAACTGTGGAATTCCCTTCAAAATTTCCATGTAATTCTCATGGAACTCAGCTGAAGTTTTCCTAACACAGTTCATGGTATTCTTTTCAGAATTACATTAGAATTCACCGCATCATTTCTAAACAATTGCCGGCGCCGGTGGTGTAGTGGTAAGCCGTGACTGCTTTCTCACACCCCAATGGGTCTGGGTTCAATCCCAGCCGAGGTCGGTGGGATTTTTCTGAGGCATAAAAATCTCTGGTTACGTCTTCCTTCGGAAGGGAAGTAAAGCCGTTGGTCCCGGCCCATGTGTGTTGAATGGGTGCGATATCCTACGCAGGTGTGGAAGCTGCCTTCCTGCACATTCGATTGCCGTCAATGGATGGCAATCGATGTCCGTCGGTGATTGGCACTAGATTGCGGAACAGAGACCGACGTTAAATAAATGAAAGAAGAAAAGAAGATTTCTAAACAATACTCTCCAGAATTCCCTTGGAATTATACCAATTTGCATCAATATTCCCTGAAAAATTCTTCCCGTTAAATCATTCAAGAGCATAGACAATTCTCCAGGCTCAAAATCTTGAATAATTTTTCAAATATCCACTATCGGAAATTTGGAAAGTCCGAAAACTTCAGTATTTCTAGGGTCCAATCATATTTCTGTTTTAGCCCTACGTAAAAAAAATCCATGAGACTTTTCGACTCTCCAGATGTTTGTAGGTTATTTTACAAGGTTTTTGGCCAGGGGCTGGTTCACTATGGGAAATTTTCGTTACAAATCAACCAATAATATTCAAAGTGATTTTATGTTACTTCATAAGCGAAGTTAGCGATTTTCAGAGTTGGTTGGAAATGCTAACATGAAGCTTTAGTGTGATAATTTATTAGCTAGAGAATGATCTTTTAGAAGAGGGTAGGTGGATAATAACTAATGAATGAAGCATTATTGCTCATCAATTTAAGCAATTTTTCAAATCGCCATCGCAACCGAGAGATGCCACTTCATAACACAATCAAATATCAATCCAGGGCCTATTTTAATTAAATTTCCCGCGCAAAAATTAACAACCACCGCCAACCGAGCCGCGCAATCAAAATTAGTCTACCAATCACCGAAAACAATTTCGCTTCCAAATTCTCCACTGACACTGTCCGTGATACAAACAAAGCAACCGAACAGCCGTGTTGTAGCACCGCAGCACAATTTCCAATTTCAAATCGAGACCGGTGTCAAAAGTCAATTGATCGCAGCAGCCGACGGGTTCTCACCCTCGATCCTACTGTAAGCTACTGTAAGGAGGAGAAATGGGGGTAAAATCCCCATAGGTCAATTTTGACCAAAACCAATTCCGTAAAATGACAATACCAAAATAAACGATTTGATTGATACAAATTTTAAGAAACGTCTGCAGGCAAACCGGAAATTTTCACTCCATGTGGAGTCGGAAATGCTTGAACCTTTCAATTTCAACAGTGAAAGAACACATGTACAGCCTAAACGTATGTCTCCTTGGAACGAATTCAGTAATTGCATTTAGCCCAAAAGTATGTAATTTGGAAAACGCGCATCTGTTTGTCTTTTAGATTGTGTCGATCTAAACTATAAATTTTGCTCAGCATATCAATTGTAATACCTATCATACATTTATGAAGACCTTGCACTCAAATCTCCATTCATTGATGAAATGTGGATCTTTCTAAACAGGTGAGCCTTTCACCCCCATCTCCCCTATAGTAGCAATGAGCAATTTAGAATAACGCCAATCATCACGTGCTCATGATAAGGTTAGGAATCATGGGCACTGATGGACTTACATTCATAGCCGGATCCTTTCGCGTTCGCCGGTGTTGTCACTTTGGTCGGTTTGTTCAGCGGCGGCTTCGGTCCCTTGGTGACATGCAACGGTTCCTCCTCCGGCAGCATATTGCTCTGTAGCGTATCTTCCTTAAGGGTCGCAGCGTCAGCCAAAACCGCCGGATCGTCAAGGCCGGCTTTGCTAGCCAACTTGTTTGCACCACAACAGTAGTAGGCTAGACAAAGTGCCCCCAGCACTAGCAAACGTAGTGACCGGGTCATGGTTCTCAACAGATTGCTTCTTTTTCTTCAAGCGAACTTTCAATACACTAAACACTGATCTTGAAGGGATTCACTCTAGAGATCGAACACGCGTTTGATCATTTGGCACACTCACACAAAAAAATACACCACGAACAACCGAATTTGTTTTGCTTCACGGAATGGAGATAATGCACTCGGTGGGACTGAATGAAAACAACAAAAAAAAACGCACACACTTCGAGGTTAGAATCTGCTGATGCAAATATATATCGCGGTGGTGGATTTAGCACTTACATACACGAACAGAGAAGTTACGTCAAATGTTTCCTCTGGCACAGTGCGAAAAAAAACTTGCGGCGAAATGAACACACACCGTCGACGTCGTCCCGGGGTGGCCCGAAAGGTGTAGAAAAACAATACACCACGCAACACGACACCACTTGCGGCCGCAAAACCACTTCTCTTCACGTCAAACACTTACACCAACACACAAACACGTACGGTCGAAAGATGTGCAAGCAGCCACGGAAATCGAACACTCCCGATGACAGCAGCGGCGGCCTTCTGTAGGCGATGACTGCCACTATTTTCGATAAACTTCTTTGCACTCACCAACACACTTTGATACTTAACACCGAATGCGAGCAGTGGAAGACGACACTATTGCTCAAAATTTCTATTGAAAATTTTTGGCCAATTTCGCCCCGCACGCACAATACCACCGAAAAGACACAACACCCTTGCGGGTGTTACGGAAGATCTCTAGCGCACTGCACCGCCCGTGCCTACTAAGATCTCTGGGGATTGCTAGATCAAAACTAGGTCCGCCTCACGGCCTACTACGTTCCCTCAAGCTTAAAGCCAACTTTTCACACTTCTTCGCGATTTTGCACCCAAATATCCAAACGAAGGGCAGCACCGAAATGTGTGCGAAACTTGGATCACCAACAAAAAATTCTCTTCCCTAGTTATCCGTGCACTGTAGACAACTCTTTACCAGGGTTCTCCGTACGACACACCACCGAACCGAGTCGACGCAATTCAAGTGACATACTGATATTGGATTCGGTGGTTCATGCGTTTGATAGTAGCCTCGATACTCGCGAGCTCTCCCATGCACAGCAACCCGTCTTGGCCGAAGCACACACAGAGAACCATGGCAACCGTGAGATAATATCACACCAACATATCTTTCCTCCGTGTGGTGAATAATACACACCTTTCCTGTCTGGCAGGCAACAGCTCTTGAAAAATCAAAACAACCCACGAGAGTCGGCGCATGGTCCGATCGGTGTGTGCGGGTGAACCCCTCTCACGATAAACAGATTCCTACCAAGCAGAAAATCGTCCAACATCGTGATGTAGGTGTAGGAAATTCACGAGAGCGTATCGCATCGGATGATTTTTTTTTAATGTTTACATGAAAAGTTGTACGAACCAACGAAATTCGGTTATCATATCTCGATAACTTTTTCGAAGGAACGTATCTGCATTTGTTAACAATGCATTTGATCGTCGATTTAGCGTAACTGGTAGCACGCCCACGCATGCTAACACTACCATCAGTTGGGGGAAAATTTCCCGCACCTGATAGTGATGTTAGTATACGTGAGCGAGCTACCAGCTACGCCAAACCGACGATCAAAAGAGCATTGTTTACCAAAGCAGATACGTACCTTTGAAAAAGTAGTCGAGAATATCGTGTTCTCCGCAGTTCCACAAACACTAATACCAACTCACGTGGGTGGTGTGATATCGGAATTTCGATAGCAATCAATAAGCAACACTCTCGTCGCTTGTCTCATCATCCTATCGAAGCATTATAAAATCGACCGAAGTTTAAGTTTGGCTTGATGTCATGGTTCACATCGCATTTTCTGCACCGTTTTCGGTGATTTTCGAAGGCTCTTAAACTGTGGTTAATCCAAAGAAACCACCTTAAATGAGCCCTCTGTTTATATTGTTTTCCACACAGGGAGCAAAAAAAATGTTGGTACACAGGCGCGGTGATAACAAAAGAATATTGTGCCAGAGCAGACAGAAGATGTCTTACTTCGACTTTGTTCAGGGGACTGATACTGTGTTACATGACTCATAAGGAATATAATATTGAATCCACGGCATCGTATACCTTGTCTAGTTGGTAGGTGTATTTGACCTGAGCTAGATTTGCATTGGTATGAGAAAGACAACTAGTACCTTTCTCTTTCTCTTACCAATCTTAATCCCGCCCGCGCGTGTCAATATCGTGCAGATCTGAATACAGCTTTAACGTTCATTATGCCATGTTAAATTAGACGATCGTATTTTTCGTTATGAGTCAGGTAACACCGTAATGCCGCGGATGCACTAGTATACCAATCAGGGGGCTATTACTGAGCCACATTTTGAATTCTTCGTGTTGATGGAATATCGAAGCAACCTGTTAATTTTTCCATTGAATCAGAATATGCCTCTGTATGTATGCATGTAAAGGATACCGCTCATTGTTGTAGGGCACAGCCATAAGACTGTCCACCTCGTATGACTTGATCAAGTACGATACCTGGTTGTATCACCAGATACAGAACAAGCCATTATACGAGGGGATGTCCCAATGAGTGGGAAAAAGAGCCCACCTTTAATTCATGAAATGTTAACAACAGAAGGTTGGCAATTCCACTCTCCCCATCCAAATCGCTTCAATCGTGGTCCCATCCCTACCTAATGGATTGATATAATTATATGAAGATATCTTGATGAACATTTCAAATGGTCCTATCTGCTTTGATCGATTCTCTTCATCGACTTTCTCTTTTCATAACCACTGCTATGCAAACTGATTTCGCGCTAATTCTACCACATAGTTTGATAAAGGAGGTTCTTATCTAGCGTCCAAAACGTCAAATACAACAGGGAAAGGTTTTGCAGCTGAGTTATTGACGAAAGAGAAAGTTGATGAAGAGAATCGATCAATGCAGATAGGACCTTTTGAAATGTTTATATAGATATCTTGATTACTTTTTCGAAGGGACGTATCCGCTTTTGTACACAATGCATTTGAGCGCCTATTTGGCGTAATTGGTCGCTCGCCTACGCATGCTAACACTACCATCTGTCGTATACACTGTGATGGGCAACACACTCAACCAATGGCTGTAGTGTGTAAACGTCAAACGCGAGGGAATTGCAACGTTCCGATCGAAGAGGGACAAGTGATTCTGGCCAAGGTGATCAATCGAGTACATGTAGGCCTATTTATGCGACGTGAAAGGACTCACTCAAAGGTACGTAACTGTAGTCCATTTGGTCAGTTAAAATTCTTTATTCTTCCAATGAACCACTCTGATGAACGAAATTAAACGGATTTTTGGGTAGATATTCCGTCATCCATCTGTTCCACAGCTGATCTGCCAAAGATTAGGACCGTTTGAAACTGTCCCGCAAAGCATCAGCTTCGTTCGTGCTGGGAATTAGTTCTACTTTACCCCGATACCCTTGACGAAGTGATTTGGAGTGAGGGCTTCGTTTGCATCCGATTCAAGACCACTGTACGTTAACGGGCGGGAATTGATCAGGTCTTCTGGCTCTGCCAACGTAGTTAGAAATACTTCGTCCGTCAATCATCTTCCGTCGTTGAAAACTACCAATGCTGCTTTAACCGAACGGCCCCGTCTCTCCCAAATTCCACCCATGTGTAGTGCACTAGGAGGATTAAAATTCAACCGTGTCTCCTTCGATTTTTTTGAACGATCTGCTTGCTGGCCCCTTGGAAGTTTGTGCCATTATCCGAGAAGAACTCGATCGGTTTACCTCGTCGGCAAACGAATCGCCCGATTGCCATCAGGCACGATTGTGTCGTTAGACTGTGAGCGACTTCAAGGTGAATTGCCTTCGTCGTCAGACACGGGAAAAGATAAATCCACCGATTTTCCAAACCTGCGTCCAACAGTAGCGATCATTGGCCCACAGTAATCGACGCCAGTGAAGCTAAATGGCTGCAAATTTGGAGTAAGTCGAGCCATCGGAAGCGGAGCCATCCTAGGAAACATTGACGGAGTTCATTAACCACAGTCTTCGCATTCGCGTGAGCCGCTTGCTGGTGATGGTATTCCAACAACTTTGTAGTGTCGAGATATCATGAATCAGATGACATGCTCGGACTTCTTCTGGGGTGTTCAGCTGCCCGTTGTCTTGCTGCGACCATTCTTCTCCCGGCTGATACAGGAATTGCGGGCCTTGGAACCACGGACCATTTGAATCCAAACTCGTTCCCTTCTTCCACTTCGTTAGATCATCGGTAATATTACTCTTCGTGAAGATCCACCACCACTCGCTGTGGTTCGTGAGACTCAGAATTTCACCAATCCGAAAGGCTACGAATGGTTTGTATCGGCGCTGCTCCGACTGAATCCACGAAATCACCGTCCTGGAATCGGACCAGATGAACCTTTTCTTCACGTCCAACGAATGCGCGTCGATCACAGAATTCATTAGCCTGGATCCACCGACTGCTGCCTGCAGCTCAAGACGTCGAATTAACAGCATCTTCAATGGTGCGACCTTCGACCTCGCCATCACCAGGGAACACAACGGCCCTTCGTCCGCCAAAACGCGAAAATACGCAGTAGCACCAACAATCAATACTAAACTAACGATTTTAAATTGGCTCACTACTTGACTAGCCTATTGGTCCCAAGCAAACGATTAACGTACCCCATTCTAGTCGAAATTCTAGTACTGCGCAATGTTTGTTTTGATTCACGATGAAAGTTTGACAGATAAAACGATGGGTTATTGGTTTTTCCTATGTTTCGAGGGGTGAATCGATTAGCTTGGGACCGAAGAGAGTACCAGAGCTGAGCCAAAAAGTTGAGCACGTTATTTCGGGACCTTCTAGTCTTAGAGTTACCTCTATGGTAGCACCGTACGCGTCTTGACTGGCATCGACAAGAACGTGGAGTTGGAGCGAGGGGGGCGACTCTATCTTCGATGCAGGAAAGATCTTGTTTTGGTGTGGCTAGCTGCGCGCACGCTGAGTAAATAGAAAGAAGATTGATGCCGATTATGAAGAGTTCCTGCAAAAAGATGATGCGCGATGCAAGTAGATGCGAGAAAGGAAAGCAGATTTTTCGAAGATTGATTCGCTAGTGGGAGATTTTTTGAGCATCTAGAATTGAGATTTAGATGTGTCGGTCCCCTTGAGTTGGAGGGAGCTGTAGTCGACGGAACTGATCCTTCATGTTCTCAACCTCTGGAAGTCGACTGATCCACCGATCCCACTTATCGCAGCATTCGTCGTCGATCGGTTGATCCCAATCGCACACCGAGAATAAAAGGATTGCGAGAATCAGTAACAGCGAATATTATATTTAGAATTTAGATGCAAGATCTCGAAGCTACTTTTCACACGCGAAATGTGTATATTGTTGCTATTTTTAAAGCCAAACTGAAAAGTTTCGTAAAATTTCGAAGAACTCCTTCTTATACCGCATACCCCACTGATTTCCCTCTCACAGACATCAGAATAGGGTTCCCCGCTCCACACCCTCGATTTTTTACAATTCTGCCGGGCTAGTTTTGGCTCACATTCATATCGCTCCGACTCGCCTGGAGAACGCAGAATAAAAGGAAGGCGAAAGTGAGGTTAGCTTTTGCGTGCATTGACCTATTGCACTAAAATCGGTTTTCCCCTCCATATCCGAAAAAAACTCCACGTCTATTGAACTGACCTTCGAGTAAATGTTGACAACTTTTTTAAATTAAACAATAAGGTTTCACATTAGAGATGGTCGGATGCGGGTATTTTTACCCGAAACCCATCCCGTACCCGTCCCAAGTAACAATTCATGCTGAACAGTAATTAACTGATTATTAGTTGATTTAAGGTTTACTTACCTTACCAATCAGACTAAGGCCTTGTTGTCATCTGCTGTCCGAAGAAGTCGTCTCCACTCTACTCAATCCATGGCCATACTTCGCCAGCCTCGTAGTCTGCGAAGGGTCC